CTTTGGGGGGGGGGTCCCTGGGTCCATGGGAACTTGGCAAAGGACCTTGGTGATCTGATTATGTTCTACATGCTGGAGTGCCTGATGTCTTACCAGGGATCGAAACAGACCAAAGAACAAAGGGACCTGGGGACATTGGTGACCCATCGGCTCCTTCCCAGGCTCAGGCAAAGAACAGTATCCCAGGATCTCTGCACCTCCACACTCTCAGATTTTAGGGCCACACATTCCTCAAAGTATTTAAATGCGTGATATCTATCTCCACATGGCGTTTTGTTTTATCACGAGGCCCCCGGAAAGATTTTTAAAAAAAAAAAATATCTCTTTGAAACAGATGTCAGCCCAAGCTCCCAGCACAGATCAAGGGCAGGTTAAGAGCTTTGAGATGGGTCTGAATGTCCCTTTAACATCCTTCCATCTACTACCCAAATATACTTCGAGTCAGTACCCTGTTTTCATAAGAAGCTCTGAACCATATGTCCGGGAACTAATTAAGCATACAAATCAAGCCCCAGGATCAGGTGGCGCTCTGTTTAAATATCTTAACCTTTTATGATTATCTTAATTTAGAGAAAATTCAAAACACATTCGGAAGTCTTAGAAAATGAACTAAGTAGGAATTTACTGGCCGGCTGCTTTTCTTGATGTTGGAATCCTTTCTTCACAAGCCCAGTCTGGGGTGCTGGGGAAGCCATCCATATCATTCATGGTCTCCCCTGCACATCAAGACACCTGACTTGTCCTTCCTTCCCCAGTGGCTTCTCCCAGCTCAAACCCCACTGGCTCCTGCTCCTAGCCCAGATGTTTCTGTGTACTAAGAGGAACGGGACCAATGGAGCAGGCTCAGCCCTTGCAAGTTTCATCTCTTTTTGTAATAAAAGAAAGGCTGAAGTGAGGAGGGTAGGAAATACTCCTGCGGCCTGGCCTGGTGTGGCAGGGGAGTTGTGGAGGGGCGTTCAGAGACTTGAGATGGGAATTGTACAAACCAGGCTCCACCTGGCTGCAGGTGGCTGAGGGAAGGTCACAGCTGAGAACCTCTGTCTTTCTGGATTCCTGGGTTACTCTGGCAGCAGGGCGTACAGACTGGGGAACTCTCTCTTGCCTTCCTCTGATGCTTGTCCTATAAGACATACTTAAAAGGCATTTATTTCCCAAGTCTGTTGACTTATGACATGGTGTGCTGGAGTTTTCTCTTTCTTCCTCCTTCCCTCCTTCCTTCCTTCCTTCCTTTCTTTCTTTTTTTTAGCACAGGGTTTGGGGATAGAGGCTGGTACTGGGGCCTCTTACTCTGGCTTGGCTTTTTCTGCTCAAGGTTAGTCCTCTACCAACTCATTAATTGGAGAGTCTCATGGCCTTTTCTGTCTATCTAGGCTGGCTTTGGACCATGATCCTCAGATCTCTGCTTCCTGAGCAACTAGGATTACAGGTGTGAGCTACCAGTGCACAGCTCATTACAGGGTCTTAGCACTTATTCCACACATCTTTACTGACTGTCTCCTTCATGCGAGATCTGATACAAGTGTCTGTGTTGTTAAGACCGGGCTGGCTCTCACAACTAGTTTTTAATGTTTTGGGGTAGAATGAAAATTTTCGAATAGAGTTTCCAGACAAACCATAGGATTCCTGGTCAAATTTAAATTTTAGATACTTGATATATACTTTGACCCTAAATAGATCATGCATATTACACGACACATGATTATACTAAGATAATTATTATTTATCTAAAGTTCAGATTCAGCTGAGTGTCTTTTTATTGGTGAAATCTTAAATACATAGAAATTGATAGTGAAGTGAAATACTAATTCTGCAAGAGGACAACCAGAAAGCAGCCTTGGACCAGACCCCTCTGCCTGTGTGGTTCCCCTTAGACTTCTCTAGGGTTCCAGAATCAGCACCATTTTGTGAGTGAATCTCAGAGCAGTTAAGTCACTTGCTCAGGGTTCTCCAGCTAGACTTTTAGGCCAGCCCTACCAGACTTCAAAGCTTCAGCCCCTGCCATGGTACCCCCATGCCAAGCTGATGGTTATCTTCCTAGAGCTCTCATTTTCCTAGCTTGCCCTGGCTTCTCTCAACTTCTTGCCTCTTTCCCTACGAATGTTCAAGGAGAGATTCACTCCTGTCAGATCAATGTCATTTTGCCATAATGAAAACCACCTCCCAGGCCCATAGAGGAGAAGATCTGTCGAACCTTAATGAGAATGGTTCCGATTATGCAAAAAGCAACCTCATGGTTATTCTAATGTTACAAGTAAATATAAAACATTTAGAAATACTTGGCTTGGGCTTTTTTTTTTCAAGTACAGATGTCTGACTCTCTGCCAGTTTGTTATTAAAAATGCTACGGTGGTTTGGGTACAAAGATTGCTGTAAAAATAAAAGCTGATGCACTGTAAAGCACTTGTTTTGACTTTGTAGGAAAAGTGGGTATGACTAAGGCCAAGGACATATGGTGGCTCACAGTGGCTCTATAGCGGAGACCCCAAAATTCATAGCTCTTTCACTGCCCTATTGAAATGGAGGCGGGGGCTGATTGCCCCTCCAATCCCAACTTGGCTCCTGCCACCTCCCCAGCTGTTTCCGCTCATTTGCTGACCTCTGCTGACACCACATATGCACTTGCTGGGCCTTGCTTGGTGAGTTCTTCCAGCTCTGCCTTTGCCTGTCTCCATGCTATCCTTTACTCTAAGTAGCTCCTCCAACACACCACCCAGATCATTTCTTTTACTCCTTGAAAACTTACTTCTCGTCCATCAAAAACAAAAACAAAACCCCATAAAGGCAGGGCTCCACTCATCGTTTACAATTGTCTCTAATACCTAACGCACAACGTTGGCTGCGTAGTACCTGATCAGCAAACATTTGCTGAACAAATGAAGGAATTCATGAAAGCACTGCCTTGTCCCCTCTAGGAAAAGCTGTGCAAGTGGTAGCTTCCACAAATTTCAACCAACTTACAGAACACTCTGAAACCTGGGGACAACCTTAAAGTTCGGTGAGTCATGATTTGAGGTGTAGGAGGGGTTTCCTGGGGAGTGCTCCAAACTGCAGAAGGAAAAATGCTTAATTGCTAGAAGAGTTGGGGGACTCAAATGCATCTACATAACACTGTCCCCTCGTATGAAATCCTCCCATTCCAGGAAGTGGTACTGATGCCCTTGGAACAGTTTGGAGATATGGAAGGAGAGTACTCCTTAGATACTTTGCTCCTTAGCTTGGCATTTGAGGTTCTTCTTGTACTTGATCCTCTTGTACCCCCTCCCTGAGCCCTTTTCATGCCTCTTATCATCATCTGCTGGCCACTGGTATTGAGTGTTTGCCCTTTGCCCTTTCCCTTCCCGTTTTACATGCCAGCCCCTCAGTCTTATTAGGTAAATGCCCTTCCCTGTCTGTGCATGCCCAAATCCCAGCAACCATCCATCAAGGGCCGATCTCCCCAACTGTCTACCACATCCACCCCTACCTCAGCTGCCTCTCCCTCCTCAAAACCCACCCCCCTGGGCAATTTTTTTCCTTTCCTCATCTTTCCTGTTTGACTCAAGCTTGACTTTAAGCTGCCTTAAGGGCAGGAATGTGCCTCATTTCTGTGTCTCCTGCTACCCTGAGCACTGTCATTTTTGTTGATGAACGAGTTGATGATATTACTAGGGACACAAAGCCTAAGTCATGAGCTCTGAGCAAAAATGGTGTGCCATCAAGTGCTGTGCCGTTCAGACCATAGCTTTAGATTTCCATACTCTGAACAGATGCAATGGTGTGGTTCCCAGATGGGCATTCCAAACCACTGTCCACATGATCCCATGGTTTTAGATAAAAGACTCCTCGGCACACCACACAGCCCCCACTTTCTCTTCTCCATTCTCATCTTTTCCTACTAGGTGTCCAAAAGTCTGAAACTTCCAGGCATTGGTCACAATTGTAATCCTAGCTACTCAGGAGGCTGAGATCTGCAGATCACAGATCAAAGCAAGCTAGGAACAAAAAAGTCCATGAGATCTTTATCTCCTATTAACCACCACAAATCCAGAAGTGGAGATATGGCTCAAGTGATAGAGTGCTAGTCTTGAGTTAGAAAAGCCAGTCCCTGAGTTTAAGCCCCAGTGCTGGTACCAAAAAAAAAAAAAATCTAGTAAAACCAAATTAAAAAAAAAACAAACACAAAAAACAAACAAAAAAACCAGAGACTCAAGCACTAACACTGAACACCTGCATAGAAGAACCAGCGAGCCAAGAGAAAACCCATCCCTGGGTTTTGCCAGGTAAATGTCACATGATCATGGATAAACATGCAAATATACGTATCTCAAATGGGTTCCAAACGGAGCATGTCTTTACACCAGAGCTGGAAAGCAGTGAGGAATCGCACACAAGGGAAGCCAAGGACCCGCCCTTCTGCATCACCTAGATTTGGAAGTGTTTGTTCTCTGAGCAGCGATGGTTTTAAAATGCAGTCCAGCAGAAGCTTTGGATCTCCATGGGGTGGTATGTGTTTGTGTGCAACTTCACTGAGTGGAGGTGACACATCAACCCTGGCCTGTGCACAGAATCTGGATTTACAGCTATGTTGGGGCACAGTGTCTCCCTTTCTACATGTACAGCGTATGGAGGGGTGAGGCAGGGACATCATCTCCCGCGCTACCCCTCTTTGCAATCTTTCTAAGGCTACCATCCAAGTGTGGCTTTGACAGCATTGGGAGCCCTGTTACAGTTTGAGTAAGTGAATGCTGTCAAAGAGAGAGCTAGTAAAAATGTTTCTCCGAGCTCCTGGAGGATTGCAGCAGAAGGAAGTGCTCCATCACTGGGAAGTGACACTAATGTATTCTATTAGATTTGCTTATCATGTTAAAGAGCATATTAAAAGGAAATGTTTGGAGAACGGATGCCATAACGTGGTATGATGGATGGAGAATTCCTAATTTGGAAAAAATGTGCTAAGACGACATGATTGATGTGAGTGACCTACTTTATTTTATAAGAAAGTATGAGTTGCCTCGGGCCCATTGGTACACATATTTGGAAAAAAAAAGTTGTTTTTTTTCCACATTAAGTTTTTATTAACATTTTCAAAAGAGCAAAAACACCATAGAAGGATATAAGTTTCGACTTGTCAATGCAGATGTGTTTTGTCCTCATTTGCTGCTTAGAAAAATGCCTTCCCTAGAGAGGAGGGTTTGTGAATGAAGTGAGTTTCTTGTCAAGTCAGCACCCGATGGGGAGAAATCTGACATTGTCTTCCCTGATTTAAAAAAAATGACAAGGAAAGGACATCTTTTACTTAAAGCACACACATAACTTCTGCTATTCATAAGTAGCAATCTCAAGATGATTGGCATCTCGTAGGACCTCCCAATACCTTTTGGGTTGTAGGCAGCAAAGACTGAGGCTGAGTTAACCATTTTCAGTCTTAAATGATGGTCCCCAAAACTGAGGATCCCAACCATCAAATGAAGCTCCTTGGTCAGACCAGAGACTCTCAAATGTAACCCAGGCAGCAGATGGCGCTGCACAGGGGACTTCTGAGGGTTGGTAGCCAACAAAACATTGTTAACCTGGACAGGATATTATAGCCCTTTAGTGCAACAACCCCAGAGATTCCGGTGGTAAAATGTTTCCTGAGGAAGGTGGGGTGTATAGAGGAACTATTTAGAGGTAGGGAGAGTATGTGGGCACAGGATTTCTAGGAGATACTTTGTCCACGTGTTACTAAAGACTTAGATTGCTGTGGGACTTTAGCCTTAGACATTTCAACTCTAGAACTTTCTTGGGAAGAAATAATCATCAATACTCAAGAGAGTCAGCAAGACGTTCCCTATGGGATTGTTTATAATTTTCATAGATAAACTGAAAGGTGGGATTGGGGAATTGTTTAAATAAATACATTCGTTTGATACAGCTGTTATGATACAGAAGATTAATGGAGGAAAGGTTTATAATGTTGTATTAAGTAGGGAAAGTTGACTATAAAACATTGTGATTACATTGCGTCTCAAGAAACCATATATACCTATGCCTACTGCAGTAGATAATTATAAGGTATATATTTTGATAATATCTTGCACTGTATACGTATATATTTGAGTGATATTCCTGAAACACTGGGAGGGATTGTCTTTGAAAAGTACATTTCACAGGCACTCCTTGTTTCTTTCCTCTTGTATGTTTTCACTTCCTTCCTCACTCCCTTCCTCCCTCTCTCCCTCCCTCCCTCCCTTCCTTCCTTCCCTCCTAGTGCCCCCTCCCTCCCTCTGTCCCCTACTTCCCTTCCATCCCTTTCGTCTTCCTTCCCTCCCTCCTCTCCCTCTCCTTCTTCTTCCTCCCCTCTCTCCTCTCCTCTCCTCTTTTTCCCTTCCCTCCTCTCCCTCCTTCCCTCCCCCCTTCCTTTTCCTTCTTTTCTTTTCTTCTTTTTTTTGTTTTTGGGTCCAGTCGTGGGGCTTGAACTCTGGGCCTGGGCGCTGTCCCTCAGCTCTTCAGCTCAAGGCTATCGCTCTACCACTTGAGCCACAGCACCACTTCCGGCTTTTTTCTTTTTGCTTATGTGGTGCTGAGGAATTGAACCCAGGGCCTCAGGCATGCAAGGCAAGCACTCTACCACTGAGCCAACTTCCCAGCCCTTTTCTTTTCTTCTTGAAGTACTTGGGTTTGAACTCAGGGAAGCCTGGCCTGCTGGCCAGGCAGGAGCTGTACCACTTGAGCCACACCCCCTGCCCTGTATGTTTTCATTTTCTACACAAGTCATGCTTTCCTTTGGTAATAAGTAAAGCAACTATTCAATGGAAAATCTGAGAGATGTGGCTGATTACATAATAGAAACAATAAGAGAGTTCCTAAGGATTATTTGACACAAACTAGTTTTCTCATCTAAGAGTACTAACTTAGAAATACAAAGTGAAAAATTGTTGCATTTACAATAGCAAAAAAGAAAAATATAAATTATCTTTAGAACTGAAAATACGATGACTCATTCATACAAGAAGTATAAAACACCTATGTAGAATAATGAGGTATATCAAAGAAGTTCTAGATAAATTATTGTGCTCCTGGTTGTGAAAACTGATGGTTGTAAAAGTGTAGTCTTCTCGTGAAATGGTTCGTACATTTTATCCAGTTCTGGTAAAAATTTCTCATAAGAATAATTGACAAGTTGATTTTCTAAACAGCACCTCAGAGAATAGATACATGAAAACAGATAACTTTCCGAAAAGAAAAATGAGACAGACTTGTCCTACTCAATTTAAAAGGTATTACAAAGTGACACTAATTAAACAGCACATAGTGTTGTTGAAACCAAGTACATTAACGAATCAAATAGAACCTAGAATAAAGATAGGTTAATATAATAAAAAGTGAGAGCCTCACACTTGACAGATTGTTTTTTCTATAAATGGAAAAATGTCTAGATGATCCACAAAATGATGTTGGAAAAATTTGTTACTCATTTGGAGAGGGAAAAAAAGAACAGTTGTTAATGTGCCATTCATTGAAAAAAAATTCCAAATGCAATAAAGATGTACATATTGTTTAAAATTATAAAAGTTCTAAAAGAGGCTAAAGAATGGTAGTTCTATAATCCTGAGAAGAAGAAAGGCTTTTCTTGGAAAATTAGATAAACTTCAGGAGTTGCAGAGAGAAAAACACCAATAATTCCTTCCAAATAACAGAATATAGTACAATATTAAAGATAATATATTTCTATATTTAAACTTCACTACAAAGAAGAGGAGGAATGAAACTTTTATGACAAGCAATAGAGAAAGAGCTTTCCTATATAAAGTGCTGTTCTAAGATAAGAAAAAAGTTTGCTCCCAGAACCAAAAAACCACAACAGACAGAAAACAGAGAGTAGCTACCATTCCCCCCCCCCAAAAAAATTGGAAAATACAGGAAAACTTTTTTTAACCAAGCATACTATTAAAATAAACCATTAGAAATTAGGACAACCGAGCATCATTGTCTTTCCCAATTGTCAAATTTTAAAAGAAGGTGCTAATATTCAGCATATTGTGAGTGTGTAGAAATACATCAGATGCAAGGATTTCCACTCAGGGAGTAAACCCTGTGTGAAGACTTACTCTAGACAGAGGCTGTGGTAGCGTAGGTGGCCGAGTGAATGTTCCAGAACTATTCACTGAGGGAAGGAAAAGCAAGAAAATATTGGCAAGTAAACAAGGAAACAACTTACCTCTGTAGTCTAATTCTGCTTAAGAAGTAAACACAGTGATTTATAGTTAGGACCATTTTTTACAGTGTTAATCAATGACTGTAGGATTATAACAAAAAGCCATTTCTACTTTATCCTCTTATGTCATATTCAACTTTTACATGACCATAAATCCTTAAATAATAATTTTTAAAAAGCAACGCATAGGATTGACACTGAGCACAAATCTGCCGGGAAAGGTGAGGTGACTTGCCCAAGCTGGCCAGCATATGTCAACCAGAAGGAACTGTGTCTTCAGATCTCCAGGTCCCTATTGTTCCCCAGGACTCCCTAGTTCCCACCCAGAAGCCCATAGGGTGCCGGGTGGCCTCTCCACCCGAGGAGCCCGGGAACGCTCTGAGAACCATGGCAGCCACCGTGCAGATCACCTCAAGGCCCTAGGCCTGGTGGCTGGGAGGAGCCCATACACAAGGCACTGGTTTAATGGGCTTCAGGGTGGATGTGCACCCTCAGTAATGATGCCCACACTAGTACCAGCTTGTCTACTCACCCGGTAGGGTGTCTGCCAGCTCTGGATGGACCCTGCCACTCATGGGTGGTGATCAGGCCAGGGCTCCCACCCTACCTCCACGCTGTCCCTGTGGTCTCTGTGCTGGGAGGCCTTACACAGTGGACAGGAAGGCCCCAATGTGGCTGTATGAGGAGTGGAGAAAAAGGAAGACATAGAGTCGATGATTATTACATCAGTGTGTATGAAAGCGCCTGCCACCTTACCTGTCCACCGACTGCTACAATTGAGCTTCAGAATCATCCTCAGAAGGAAAAAGCATATGTGCAATTGTGCAATTGTGACTATTTACAGAAAGAGACATTGAGGCCGGTTGAGTCATTTGCCTGATCACACAGCTAGGAATTATGAGGAAAGAAGAAGAGGCTGGGTCATCTGCTGTACCCCTTCCTTCCTTCCTTCCTTCCTTCATTCCTTGCTTCCTTCCTTCCTTCCTTCCTTCCCTCCTTCCTTCCTTCTTTCCTTCCTTTCTTTCTTTCTTTCTTCCTTCCTTCCTTTCTTTCTTTGATTGTTAGGCTTGAACTCAGGGCCTGGGAGCTGTCTCTAAGCTCTTTGCACAAGGCTAGTGCTCTACCACTTTGAGACACAGTGCCATTTCTGGTTTTTGAGTGGTTATTGGAGGTAAGAGTCTCATGGGGACTTTTCTGTCTGGGCTGGCTTTGAACTGCAGTCCTCAGATCTCAGCCTCCTGCATAGGTAGGATTACAGGCATGGGTCACCAGTGCCAGGTCCCTTATTTCTTTTCTTGAACACGTCCTGCCTAGCCCATGGATACAAGTTCCTCATGCTTAGGCTTGACCCTGATTAAGGGCACTGTGGAGTTTCTTGCTCTAATCTAAAATGCCTTTTGATTCCTAGCCCTGGACTTAGTGTCTGGTATATCTAATACTCCTCCAGCAGCTTTCTGCTCCTCGAAGACTAGTTGGGCTTATTCTCCAAGTGCCCAGAAGTGGGCACTGTCTAAAAATTCTCAGTATGAGGGTACTTGTTCTCTGGAAGGCTACTAATGACCTCACTCTGCTTTGTAAGGCCCTGTGAGCCAAGGACCTCACTAAGAATTTGTTGGATTAGTGGGCCAGCCAGGGTGACCATAAATCCTTTCTCCGATTCTCTTAGGGTCTTGACCTTCTGCTATCCTTGCCCCTACGTGCAATTTTTTCCCTTACAGAACTTGGGTGTGAGGCAGTTTCTGGACCTGAGGCCAAGTACACCGTCAGGGACTCTGCCAGCTTTAGGCTTGGGACTGAGGGGCTGAGGATTAGAAGCCAGTGTTATTCAAGAGATCTAAAAGATTGAAAGAGATCTAAGAGATAGAAGGCTGCAGGGAAATTAGGACTCTGTACTTTTCCAGGTCCACCTTTCTGGTAGTTTCACCAGCTTCAACATCTTCAATTATTCGGTTCAACCATACCCAGTGATCTATGCAGAGATCTTGCTTCTTGCTTCTGTCCTGGCACATGGCAAGTGTGTGTGTGTGTGTGTGTGTGTGTGTGTGTGTGTGTATGTGTGTAAATGGGTGGATGGGTGGATGGAGATCTCTTGCTATGATGGAACTTGAGAGAAATCAAAAGAAATAATGAGTTGGGGAGGTGGGGAGGGAAGGGATAGTAGGAGAAAAACAAAGGAGGGGGTAACAATGCTGGACAAGAAATGTACTCATGTAACAGTAACCCCTCTTTACAGCACCTTTACAATAAAATAAAATTTTAAAAAATCCAAATTACAAACAGCAAAAAAGAAAAGAAATGACATTATAGGCCATGAGAACTCAGCTTCTTCATCTGTAAGACCAATAGCAATCACTTGCCCAAAGTGGCAAAGAAAGACTGGATGAGATTAGAAAAGAATACATGAGGTGGTATTCAAAGACCAGCCAAAGCAAAGGCCAGCTGGCTTGACTGGTTCATGCACCTGGGGACACTGTTGGGAGCCACCCCCACAGAGTAGAACCCCCACACTGACTCTCAGTCTCTGTGGGGAGAGGCTTGATACTATCATAATGAAGTCATATCTATCACAAAGATCCTTGAGGCTACTTAACTGAAATAATTACATGTGTTTCAGAACTGGGAAAGCAAGGATTCTAGCCAACATCTCATGATGCTCTTTAAAAAAAAATAAAAGGTTTCCTATAAACTGCAGGTGGGGTGGGGAGTGGCAAGCCTTCCAAGCCAGGATACCATGTTTAATTCCACCTTTTATGTCTTGGCACCAACCCATCTATGTGTCTGTATCTCTGTATAGACATATTAAAACAACAGTAAAGGAGATTAAAAGAGTAACAATTGTCAGCCATAATCCCATTGCTAGAACTAAATTCTCCTTATGTGCATGTGTCTCCTTGTTTAATTACACAGGCAATCCATGAATGCCTTCTCATTGTCAGCAATTAAACAATTAAGTGTACATTGTAGTCTGTAAAAATGCCCAGTCCATCCTCCAGTTCCCTTCTCTTCCCTTGAAGCTACTGTGTAGTTGTAGCCTGATGTGGCCCTTTCTAGAACTTTCTCTGACTTTACCTCTTAAGTTTCCACATGTAATTTATGTATTAGTGCAAGACATACAAGTAGTGTTCATTTAAAACCTTAACAGGATCATGTTGTTCTGGAACTTTTTTCCCTCCTCCTTTTGGGTCTTAGAAATCTTTCTAGGCTTCTGTACAGAGCCACTTCATAAATGGTAGCAGTTTTCTGTAGTATGGGAACATCCTAATATTTTATTACTCATCATTATAGGACATTTTAGGCTTTTTTCCAAGTTTTCAGTATTTCAGTGACTAATAAATAGTTACTGTAGGCTCTCTGCCTGTGCCTTGGGGTTCATCAGCCCTTTTCTTCATGTCAAGAGATTCCTACCAGGGATCACCAGCTCAATCAGGATAGACATTTTATGTTTCTTCCTCGATTCTATCCCCAGTGCCTAGAACTGTGCCGCCTGGCTCAGCATATGTGCACAGGAAGTGTTTGTTGAATGAATAATTGACCAGCAAGGGGAAGACGTAGCTGCAAGTTATTTTAATAACTAATACTTCTGCAATGCTTGCACTTTATTTTCAAAGGCATTTTTTTTTTTTTGGTCGATCGTGGGGCCTGAACTCTGGGCCTGGGCTCTGTCCCTGAGGTCTTCAGCTCAAGACTAGCACTCTACCACTTGAGCCACAGCACCACTTCCGGCTTTTTCTGCTTATGTGGTACTGAGGAATAGAACCCAGGGCCTCATGCATGCAAGGCAAGTACTCTACCACTGAGCCATCTTTCTAACCCACAAAGGCATTTTTTTAACTTCCTTGTTGCATTTAATTCTGGAAACTACTGTGCCAGGTTGAAAGATTCTGCATCGTTATCACCTCAATTTTCTGATGAATTTCAGTCTGAAATGAGGGCTGGGTTGTTTAAGACAAGGGTTCAAGTTCTTGCTATGGGAATTTCTCCACGTGCCTAGAGAATTTACTTGACTTGTATAAATCGCACTCAAAAATCTGTAAAATAGGGCTATTTATATTATAGATATAACAAGTCCACATCTATTTGTCTGTCTATCTGACAAAGGGAGAGAAAGACATATTATATCCCCCTTAAAGGGTTTTGTGACAATTAAAGATGATAGTCCGCACAAAGTACCCAATGAGCACTCAACAGGTGTTTGTCCCTTTTGTCGTTTGCTTTCTATATTCTTTCCACCGGCCCAGGACCGTCCCCTCCCTGCTTGCCATGATTTATTCGCTACCCATTATAGAACCACCTTACTCCTAAAGGTTCTTTGGGAAGATTAGTTTTCTTCATCCTCTAGGATTTTCTTGGGAAGAAGTACTGGACCTACATGCTTTCCCGTGTCAGTGAAAGAGGATGTCAGCAGCTTTTCCCTAAGCATTCTGTGTTTGGACACTTATTAAATAATAGTTAGCTGTCCAGTTTCCCAAGTAGCTCTTGAGGGCAAGAGTCATGATTGACTAAATTTGTTAATTGCAGGTCAATTGGAAGCTTCCTTATAAAAGGTACATGCTCAGTAGCAGTAGAGTGAACAAATGAATCCCAAATTTCCTATGTGATTTTCAGTGGCTACAGGCTTCATATTCCTGAAGGCACAGGCCCTCCTCATGCTCTGCTTGCAGACAGCACCCAAGCCATCCTGGGGAGGGCACACCTCAGCATGGAGGGACTGGCATGAGGAACGGTGCTGCTGCTTTCTTCCCACTGTCCAGTTTTACGCTTCTGCTTTTCTCATATTTCAATCAATCCTCTTTTTTTTGGGTTGTTGTGGAGCTTGAACTCTGGGCCTGGGCACTGTCCCTGAACTCTTCATTTCAAGTTAGCCCTCTACCACTTTGAGCCACAGCATCACTTCCGGTTTTCTGGTGGTTAATTGGAGATAAGAATCTCACAGTCCCTCCCCCACAGTGTAACCCCTGCTTTCACTATATTTGATGTCAGTATAACATGTGGAGGAGACGGGGACAAACAAGTCGTTTAAGGATTCAGGTGGACCTGTTGCAACAATGAGAAGTACAAAATGTCATGTCAAAACCAGCTTTACAATGTCGGTGGGGGGGGGGGAGGGGGGTATGATTGGGTGGGAGGGAGGGGGGAGCCTGGGAAGGGAGGTGAAGGGTAAACAAAGGAGGAGGATGCAATGCTTGGTAAGAAATGTATGCATTATCCTGCCCATGTAATTGTAACCCCTCTGTACAGTATGTTCTCAAATAAAATAAAATAAAATTTAAAAAAAAAAAAAAAAAAGAATCTCACAGACTTTCCTGCCTGGGCGGGCTCTGAACCGTGATCCTCAGATTTCAGCCTCCTGAGTAGCTAGAATAACAGCTGTGAGCCACCAGCTCCCAGCTTCAATCCTATCTTTTTTTTAAAAAATTATTTCATTTATTTTTGTTTATGTGGTACTAAGGAATCGAACCCAGGGCCATACATTCTAGGCAAGCACTCTACCCCTCAGCCACATTCCCAGCCCTCAGCCCTAGCTTTGACAGTCCTTATGCTAGGTTTTAGTGCCTTTCTAATTCTTTCCTTTTCCCTTTGGAATTACAGATCATT